TTCATGTTTAATTCATATTTTTTCCGTTTTTTTGTTTTTTTTTAAAAAGCAGACAAAAAAACACGAAAAAAAAAGGAAAAAATAGAAGATAAACAAAACGAAAAAAAGATAAACAAACTTGATCTCGAAAACAAAAATTGAAAAACGAATCCAAACGAAAGAGAACGAAAAACAACGAAACAAAATGGGAAAAAAACGAAAAAAAAACACGAACAAAAAAAACACGGAAAAAAAAAGAAAACGAAAACGAAAAAAACAAACAAAAAACGAAAACCAAACAATCAATCAATCAATCAATCATTCAATCAATTATTAGCTCAATCAATAAATCAACCAATCAATCACTCACTCAATCAGAGAATCAACTAATCAATCAATCACTCACTCACTCACTTAATCAATCAATTAATCAGGAACTTGATTGATTGATTGATTGATTGATTGATTGATTGAATGTTTGATTTCATTGATTGACTGATTGATTGATTGACTCATTGATTGATTGACTGATTGATTGATTGATTGATTGATTGATTGATTGATAGATAGATTGATTGATTGATTCTACCGCTACATCCTCGAAATATGCACTGCCACACTTTTTTTTTTTTTTTCCAGAAAACCCCTCCTTGTTTACGGATTTCATACTCGTGGCGTGCAGGTCCTGCGTCCACGGACACTCGACACGATGACGACGGGAACTTTGCTTGGACGGCTTCCTTCACAGTGTTGTCGAGGACAGGAACGGATAACAGAGGGTCTGCAGCCGCCGATGGCTTCTGGGGCTGCAGTGGGATCTGGGGGGAATGAGTTCAGACCAGCGTCCGATGCTACCATGGCGGAGTTCCAATCCAAATCATTCATCTGGAAGCATGTCACGCAAGGACAGCTGGTGGGGACATAGGAGAAGATGCACGACGACCACAAGTTGCGTTGCAACTACTGCAAGGTCATTTACGAGGGAAACCAAAGCAAGGCAGCGCGGCACTTCACGCAGCCTAAGAAGTGCAAGCAGGCACCGCTGTCTGTTTTGGCGGACATATGGAACAAGACACGGTACAAGTTTGACCTGCGTCACGTGGAGGGTATCCTACGTTATATGGAGGAGATGGGCATAGCTGACGCGCGATCTTTGTCGGGGAGGGGCACGCAGAGGAGGCAGCCAAGTGGAGGGTTCGGTGCGGACCGAGATGACGATATGATGGACGTTGTGGACGAGGTGGAGGCGTTTTTGGACCGGGAGGCGAGGCGAGAGGCCGATGCCATGCGAGGCACTGCGGAGGTGGGAGGGGAGGGTGGTTCGAGTCCCCCGCATTGGAAGGGGGAGGAGGTCGTGATGACTGCGCGTAGCACGGGAGGTGGATCCCGAGATGCTGGGCAGAGAGAGAGAGCGAATGGGAAGATGCACGTCGATGAGGTGGACGATGACATTGCTGAGGAGGGGCGCAAGAAACCTAGACAGACAACCATGGACGAGGTGTATGATGGTGACGCTCAACAGCGGACGAGGAGCACGTTTTTGGAGTGGGTGTACGACGTGGGGATCCGGTTTCGTGCTTTCCGGAGGAGCTCTTGGAGGAGACACCGCAAGGCGGTGGCTGAGTTGCCACGTGGAGTACGGATGGTGTGTCCTAGTCACAAGGAGATTGGGGGGAGGGGGGTTATTGAGAAGCGCGATGAGGTCGCTACCAGGCTCGCGCATGTCCGAGCATCGTTCGAGGTGATTGGGGCCACCATCGTGACAGATGGCAGGAGGTCCACAGATTTGCGGCCCATCATTAACTTCCTTGCCGCTGGCAAGCATGTCGCGCTTCTCTATGCCACCGTGTGTCGAGATGCTTTCGTTCCTGAGACGGGGGAGATAGTGTTGAGGAGATGGAAGGCCATTTTTAGGTCCTTCCCTCCTAATCATTTGTTGGCGATCTGCACGGACTCTGCGTCCAACTACACGTCGGCCGCAGAGCTCCTTGCAAAGGGCGCTGACCCGGAGCTGCATCGTATCACGTGGCTCCCATGCGCCACCCACATCTGCAACTTGATGTTGTCAGACATAGGGACCCGGGTAGACTGCATTTCCTCGGCCATTCTTCGTGGAAGGGCCTTGGTGCGGTTTATCAAGATGCACGGCGCTGCTCTTCACCTTTTCAGGTCGAAGAGCAAGCGCAAATCCCTTGTTCAGCCTGTGGAGACGAGATTCACGCTTGTGTTTATGATGCTCCTTTGCCTAAAGGAGCGCAGAGACGCGCTTGAGTCGATGCTTCACGATGAGGCTTGGGACAACATTCCCTGGAAGTCTCGATTGGTCGACGAGGCGGTGTGGGTGCGCCAGACTATCCGCGATGGATTGTTTTGGCGGGATGTGGAGTATGGCATTCTGGTAATGACTCTGATCCACCAGTTGCTGAGGAGGCTGGATAGGCGCGGGATGGTTATGTCCCTGGCTTATTCTTGGATTCGTCGTGTGGTGGATGAGTTACGACGCTTGCAGGACGGAGATAGGATCCCCTCTGAGATACTCGATGATTACATCAAACAGGTCCTCGCCCGTCGCCAGCATATGCTGGAGCCGGCGCACGCCGCGAGGCATCTCCTCAACCCTCGTAGGCGTCATCTTCGGTACTACGACGAGAGGGTGAGGACAGCAGAGGATTTGGAGGTTGTGCAGGAGTGCGACAACTTCTTCCTTGCCCAGACGGGGGGAGATCGGGCAGGCGCTCGGTACTTGCGCACGCGTGAGGAGATGAGACAGTTTCATGCACGTATGGGTCCTATGTTGACCGACCCTGCCACGAGGGACGCGGAGGCGCAGGCATGCAGAGGGGACGACGAGACACCGAGGTGTGCTGCTTGGTGGCAGGAGCACGGAGGCGCATACCCCGATCTTCAAGAGATTGCAACGCGGATGCTGAACATGTGGACGTCCGCCTCTCCTGCAGAGAGGAACTGGGCGGAACATGAGCGCGTGTGCACGGCTAGGCGTAACAGGTTAGAGTTCACAAAGGTCGCTCAGCTGGTTGAGATTGCCACCAATCTCAAACTGTTGGAGTGTTCCGAGTCATCTACCGGTTACGTTCTTCCGTGGGGATACTTGGACGCCCAGGATAAGGTAGAGGGTGAGGACGAGCCCGAGCCCTTGGTATGGGGGGCGCGACCTCGCGCATCTGTGACGGAGGAGGAGTTGGCGTCGACTAGACGCCGATTACAGCCGCTAGGTAGTCGTCGACCTCATCGAGTGTCAGAGGTGTTTGGTGCGAGAGCCACGGTTCTTCTCCCGTACGAGGCGGAAGTGCCGGAGGGGGAGGTTGTGGATGACGCGACTCGACCTGCGCGCGATGACGCCATTGATGGCGATGAGGACTGGACACTTGCGTGCCTAGTTGGCAGCTTCACGGTAGGATATCCGACAATCTTACCACCGTCCTTGGTCGAGTGTGCGAAGAGTGGATGGGAAGCTTAGGAGAGAGGTTGCTGGAGTTGAGGCACGACGTCGAGAGGAGAGACAGAGGGTAGAGAGAGAGGAATAGGAGAGAGCCATGGCAGAGAGAGAGGGAGAGGAGGGAGGACGGGCCGAGGGTGGTAGCGGAGGCAGTGGTGGCCGACCCGGTATAGTCACCACGTGTCGTATTTTGGGAGTGGGACTTCCGAGGAGTATGCGAGATCTCCGCATACCAGCCGCCCTAGAGGCCGGAGTGCAGAGCGGGGCGTACACCTCTGGTGAGGAGGCTTTGCCTATGCGCCTGGGGGAGAGACGTCATGAGTCATTGGGGGAGATAGCGGCTCGTATAGAAGCCCACGAGGTGGAGATTGCGGCGTCGAGAGAGGCTTCAGCATTGGCGAGTCTTGCGGACGCTACGGGAGACGTCGACGCAGACACAGAGGAGGAGTCTATTGACGTTGCGAGGCGGAGAGAGAGAGAGGGGAGAGCGGCTTCTTCGGCACGATCGCCCATGCATGGTCCTCGATCGGCGGGCCACGGTCGAGGTCGTGGTCGTGGTGTCGGCCAGTTCTATGGACGAGTGGGCTTGCTCTGTTGTATGCATGTTTAAAGTTTACTTCATTGTCATTAGGTTTGTTTGTAGTCTTCATTGTATAGTGTGTCGAAAGATCGTCGTAGGTTCTGTACATTAGAGATACTTGAAGT